TAATTACTTATATCTAGGCTGTAACACTACTACTGTGTATAGACATTAGCAACTTTTCTTTTTATCTAAAAAGTTACCTTCTATACACGTTACCTCCCTTCTGTCTATGTAGGTCTATCTAATTATGTTTTACCTTTACTTTACCCTATTTATTAGGACTTGCCCTTAGTAATGCTGTATGTTAAAATAGGGTAGTTACACTATGTAAATAGCTTTATAAATAGTGTAAAGTGTTTTAGGCTATTATTATCTAGCCTTTATACGCTTACTTTATAAGTAATTTAGTAGTATATAAACTATTTTATGCAGAGTTTTATGCTAGAATAGTGTAGAATTTTTGCGTAGGCAGGTGCGTAGAGAGGTGTATATAATAAGGTTTTCTCTTTTTTTTTACCTTCTTTTCTTTATTCTTTACTTTTTAAGCTCTACTGTATAATTCCCTAGCTCTTTTCTTTTTTTATATAGTGCTAATAGTGACAGATACTCCTGCCTACACACACACACACACACACACACACACACACACACACACACACACAGAGAGAGATGTCTCTCTAGCCTTCCTTCTCTACCTCTAGTGCTGTTAGTGCAGGCGTCTTTAGCGTTCTTGTGTAGTCTAGCAGCCTAGGGCGCATCTGCGTTACCCTTTTAACTAGTTCTACTGCTAATTAGCAGTTTATTTAGTGTTTTAGCATAAATATATAAATCTTTTAGCTCTTCTGCTTTTTTTTTTATATAAAATACTAATTATAGATAGGCTAAGAAGCAGCATGTAGCAGCTTTACTATTTTATAATATTAACATTGTTTTACTTACTAGCACTAATCTGCAGCTATAGGCAGCAAAAGTTATATGTTATAAGAGGTACTTTTATGCAGTCTTAGTCTAGAGTTGCAGTTAGGTCTTAGTAACTTTATATACTTATTATTATAGTAGCACTACTAGTGCCTCTTCCTTTATTAAGTGTTATATGCTAGCTAACTTCTAGGCTAATGCCTGCGCCTTGTGTGTATAGTAGAGCTGTGGTCTGCATTGTAACTACTACACGTAAGAGGTAGTGTGTTCTAGAGGGGAGGCTAGTAGCTTTTTTTTTCTATGTACTAAATAAATAAACTGTCTTTTTTATATATCCTTCTCTTCTAATCTTATACTAAGAAAAATAAGTGCGTATAATAGTAATAATAAAAGAGATAAGCCTTATATAAAGGCGTTGTTAGTCTAGTTAGTCTAGAGCATCTTTGCGCACAGGATCTAGCTAGTCCACAGATGCTTCTATCTAGACAGAGAAGTAGTTAGTTAGGACTAATAATTAAAAAGCCTAATTTAGTGTTTTCTTTATACATGCATTTACTAAGTTATTTTTACTATTAATTTACCTTATCTTAGTAATTTTTTTCTTTTTATATAATTTATAGAGTAACATAATGTTAATTATAAGTTACTTTTTACTAGTAGTGCTTAGCTTAACAAAGTAGTTATATAGAAACCTTAAATCTGTGCAGATTACTACTAGAATTAGTAGCAGTTTAAGTGTTTATGTAATTTACTATAGAGTTATACTAAAAGTAATTACATTATTAAACTCTTTAACTATTTTATATAGTTTACTAGTAAGAACACTCCTAGTTACTCTTTTACACTTAGTAGAATTTTAGTGTATAATGTTGCCTAGTATTTTAAAGTAGTTGCTTTGCTCTATATAGTTCTTATTACTTAATATAATTAAGAATCTTAGCTATAAGCTAAGGTTTTTATTATTAGTAAATAATTTATCTATAAAGATAAATAGCTTTATATAATTAAGCTATAATAGTAGAAAAGTAAGACTACACTTACTATTATCTATCTACTATTAGATTTATGCATTAAGTGTGTTAATGTTATTATGTAAAGAGTCTATAGTTTATATAGTAATAGATAGGTTAAATGCTACTTTTAGTTAACATATAAATATAATATATGCCTCTTTTACATATTACTTAATATATTATTATACAGCATCCTTATTCTTTAGGTTAATTATATAAAAGTAGCTTACTTATTCTTTTTAAGTAAAAACTACTATATTATGTGTAAGTTTTATCCTTTTACTATTAAACTTAATAGGCTGCTTTTTTACTAGAATAGTTTTACTTTTTATATAGAACTTTACTTTTTATAGTTTTTTCTTTTTTTTTATACAAAATTCTTTATTATAATGCTTAAAGTATTATCTATTTATAAGCTAGTAATACTAAAAGTGTGCTCTTCTTTATTAGTAATTAAGAGGTAGAGGTTATATAAAGAGATGTGCATGCACAGCTTTTTTTTATAGTAATTATAGTATGTTTTAAACTAATACAGTCCTAATTTAGCAGCTCTATACAAAGGTTGTATAACTTAGAGTATTATATTTAGTAGAAAGCTCTAGCGCATCTTTATTAGTAGCTTTATGTATAGCGTGCGCATAAGCTTATCTATTAATTAAATATATACTTATGTAATATTACATAGTTTAAAATGCATTTTATATATAGCTCTTAAGCTTACTTTTATAGCTAGAAGTAGTCTCTAGCTTATCCTCTAAATAGTTAGTAACTAAATAAGAATTTCTTTTTTTTTATTTAAGTAGCTAGTAAACACTAGGCAGGATTTTTTATATAGTTAAGTTATTTTACCTTTTACTTCTTATATAAGGTAGAGGTTAAAAATCTAACTTTTATGCCTTATTAAGTTATATACTATAACTTTAAAAGTGCTATTAGTAATTAGAGTGTCTATCTTTATGTAGTTTAATTTTTTAAATAGTTTTCTAAGTGTAGTAATTACACTATCTATATAAAGCTTAATAGATAAGGCCTAATTATCCTTTTTTTTTCTAGGTTAAGAATACCTAGTCTAGACTTTATGTAGGTTTTCTTTGCTTTTTACTTTTTCTAGTATTTATATCTTTTTTTTACACTAGTGCAGCATTGCTATCCTAAGGGGCTTAGTTTATAGTAGGCTTTAGTTCTACCTTTATAACATTCTTATAAGGCTGTTCTTTTTTCCTCTTTTATAAAAGATCTCTTTATATAGAGATTAGTTTATCTAGGTTATTTATTATAAGTAGGTTATCTTTCTTTTTTTGTTATAGTACAGTTTAACCTGCGTATATTAAAGCTTTAGTAGGCTATTTTTTTTAATAATAACATCTCTCTCTTTAATGCTCTTAATCTTATATAGGCTAGTCTAGCCTTTCTTCTCCCTCTATGCTATAATCTCTAAGCTAAAAGAGAAGTTAAGAACTTTATATGTTATAAAGCTATTATAAGTATTAATTATATAATTAATGTTTACTTTTATATAGTCTTTTTAAAGTATTTTTATTACCTTTTGTACAGCACTTACTTATGTAATAATGTCTAGTAATAGTAGAAAGTCTAAGTTAATTCTTAAGTATGCCCTAAAAACTAGCAGCGTGGGTACTAGACTGTGTAGGCTAGCTGTGTTATTTAAAGCCTTAACTACTATCTATAAAATAGCCTTATTATCTATACAGTTACCTAGCTTAGTCTTTAAGATGTTAAACACTTGTTAGAGAGGTGTGTGCACACGCTTAACTTTTCTAACTACTTAATATGCTTCTATAGGCATCTGCCTACATGTAGCTCTTATAATCTTTACATAAGCTTAAAAATTCTTTAAAGTAAAGTTTATACTAGAGTTATGCATAATATAGTCTAAGCGTTTTTAATAGGTGTTAATCTAGCATTTGCATAGTGCATTCTAGGTATCTTGTGTAGATATAGATTTTAGGAATGTAGCAGCCTAAAATAGTGTGTTTATATTAATAATATGTAAAACATCTCTATTATTAATTTATACAACATTAATAATAACTTTATAGTTAAAGTAGGTATTATTTTTAATTATAAACTTAAATTTTTATAAAGCCTAGTTATATAATTAGTAAAAGTAGTAAAAGTTTTTAATCTTTTCTAGCACTATAGCATTAATGTTATAGCTAGCGCTAGTTAGCATCTTCTAGAGTCTTTTTATACAGGGGTGTTTAAATTAGCAGTAGAGGCAGTAAAGTTCTAATTTAGTAAAGAAGAACATAGATTTTTTCTTACTAACATTAAACAAACAGTGTTCTTATTTTTATATAATAAAAATAGTAGTTTTATTTTTATATATAATAACATTTAAAATGTTGTTAAAGTATACTTTACGTTAGTTAGCATTTACTAGTAATAGTAGAAATAGTGTTAGAGTCTCTAAAATATAGTATGTAACTAGACTAATTAAGTTTTAAATTTATATAGTACTAATTAATCTTTTTAGTATCTAACCCTTAAAGCTAATATCTATTTAGCTAAGTATTTAATTAATTTCTATATATAAGTTTTTTTATATGTACGCCTTAAGTTAGAACTTACTAACAGTAAAAATCTTTACTGCGCTAATATCCTATAGTTTACTTTAGTATACTATATAGTATTAGTTATTAAGGATAAACTGCTTAGCATACTTCTTAAGTTTAATGCTATAGATGTCCTCTTCTGTTGCACAGTGTAAATAGGCAGTAGAGGTAAAGTAGTTAACAGCTTTTTTAGTATTCTTACTCTTTTATTTTATTTTATTTTACATTATACAAATTATTTTCTTTTTTAAGGTAACCTTTAAAGTTTTAGATGTATAAAGTAATAGCTTTATATAATAAAGTCTTATTATAAAAATCTTTATATAAAGCAATATACTACTTCTTTGCTTATGTATAGTTATTATAAAAGTAGTTTAATAACTAATATTTTTTCTTATAGTAGACAAAGCACTTTTTATCTACATGCAGTTATCTCTAGATTATAGCCTAAACCTAGATAAAAATCTTTTATGTTATTCTTTTCTATGTAAACAGAAGCTTTCTTCTTATAATGTAGACTCTTATTATGCAAAGTTATATTAGTAGTCTATATAGTATACATTAGGCAGTTTTTAGAGGTATTAGTTTACCTTTTAGTCTATAGTAACTTACAGTAATGAACCGCAGAAACAGGCATAAGGTTAGACCTGGGACAGTAGGGTTTTTTTCGCGCAAAGGGACGAAAACAGGCTCAAAAGCTACAGGCAGGCAGCGGTTAAGCTATATAGGCGTTGTGGCAGAAGAGAGAGTGGTTGAAAGGTAGGCATCGGAGAGGTCTTGACCGTTTTTGGTAAGAGGATTGTTTAGCGAGGCAGCAAGGGGCGCTAGCTGCATTTGGGGTTTTGGTGGAATCGAACACCATCCACCTCCAGCGGTCAGTAGTAAGTAGAAAATAGGCAGAGACGTTTCGCAAAGGCTCTGCAAGCCAGATTCTGTAATATAGTATGCATACGTATAGTTTGTGGGTAGTCGGGAATAGCATTATGGTACTTGGCTGGCATTGAGCGCTTGCCGGATTTGGGTTTTTGATGGAATCGAACAGCACCCACCTCCAGCGGTCAGTAGTACATAGATAATAGACATGCTGCGATAGCTAGGGTGGGTGGTAGTAGTGCGTGGAAACCGAGATAGTCTACGAAATAGTGAATTATCCCTCCGCAGTGTGGAAGACTTACTGCAGATGCGCAATAAGTTAATGTCTCTTCGGAAAACTCCAGCAGGGTTGATTGGGATGATATTCCACAGTTACGATAGCATATGGGTTGAGCGTTGCTCAGGTATTATTAGGGAGAGATGATAGTAAGATCTATGAAATGATTAGCGTAGCCACAGTGTAAACCTATAGGCGGGAGATGGCCGAAGGGAAGAGAAGAAGGAGGGGGAGGGAGAGGGGGTGGAAGGAAGAGGAGGGGGGGTTTCGGTATAAGTACCGGTATGTATCGCTAAACCCCCTCTCTTTGTCCGCTCCTTAACATGTATATACGTAGTAGCACACGTGACAGGTAAATTCACTGTGATAGAGCATGCGTCATGATGTAAAATGCGCTAAACCCTATACAGAATACTCTTTTAAAATCAACGCAAAACAATTATTACATTTTTGGCCGGGGGTTTCATTTATTGTCCCAACGTGTAGCTGAACAGCTTGGC